ATCTGTATGGTCCCACCCATTTGTTGAATGGAAGTTACAAAGACTATGGCTAGTAGAGCCATTATCAAGTAAATCATTACACTACATATATACATAGCCTTATAATACTGCTACTTGTATTTTAATTCCAGGAGTAGTAATTTAGGTCAAAGGGTACACACATTTTTAATAGATATCAGAATACATTCCCAAAAGCCTGAAACAATTCATATTTCCACCAGCACTCTATAAGACCTTTTCCCTATAGTCTAGTTAGTGATAGACCACTTTTGTTTTTAAACTTAGTATAACAAGTAGTGTTAACTTGCTGTTATTTTAATTTGTTCTTCCCTGACTGTTGAATATCTTTTTCTTTTTGATTCAAGAAATATTACATAAATACACGATTGTGGTAAAATGCTTAAACACTTACCTGGCGCTGTAGGATAAGCACTCGACTGCTAGGTCGGTTTGAACTGCAGGTTCAGAAGTTGAAACTCACCAGCTGCTCCTCGGAAACCCTATACAGGGTCACGAAGAGTCAGAACTGACTCGATGGCACTTAACAACAACTAACCAAAAGGTTGGTGGTTCAAATCTACCAGCTCTGCTCTGTGGGAGAAAGATGCAACAGTCTGCTTCTATAAAGTTTTGCAGCCTTGGGAACCATATGAGACAGTTCTACTTTGCCGTATAGGGTTGGAATCTGACTCGATGGCATTGGGTTTAATGTTCTGGGTTCTGTGGTAGACATTAGGAATGGAGGGATGGATTAAAAAAGACATGTTTCCTGGCTGAAAACTAGTAAGAGAGGTACACAATAAATAAATCACAAGTAAGACATGCTTACTAATTGTGCTTAAATGTCAAGAAAGAAGGAAAGGATATTATAAAAGACAGTAGTAAGAGGTAGGTATTATGGATTGAGTGGATAGGAAAGGAGTCTTTGAAGAAATGACATTTAAGCTGTGAACTTCGAAAAAAAAATATTTAAGTAGTGGCCATCTGAATTTTCTCATCTGTGAATTGTCTAGTTTTTAGACTCTGCCCGTTTTCCTAATGCAGTATTGTTTTTGATTATCAATGTATAAATGCTCTTTGATACTATAGGCAAACTTTTTATTTTTATAAATCTATTTACCTATATATATTTTTTTGGTATCCAAAAGCATTTAAATTTTAGATAGATATAAAGTGCTTACCTTTTTTTAATACAAGTTTTTAATTTCTTGTTTCTGTAGTATAGTTTACCCTACCATTAGTTTTGTTTTTTTTTTAATGTTTTATTGTGAATTATGTCATAGTTTACATGGCCTACCATTAAGTTTTGAGCTTTTAAAAATCAGGACTTTAAAAAACATTTTTTTTAAATGCAGGGTCCAACACTATTTGCTTCATAATGAACATACAGTTTTTTCCAGCAGTACTTACAAAACAATTCAATATTTTGATAATGAACTAAAATATTTCCTAATATATTTCTGTATGCTCCTAAGAGGCCTAGAAGGTACAATGCCTGTATTCAAATCCTGGCTCAACTCCTTACCAGCTGTCTGACCTTGAAGAAGTTACTTAACCTATAAAGTGTAAACTGTCTACATCAGAATTTTTACACTTAAGATGCCTATTAGACAGTTGTTATTAAGTGCCATCGAGTCAGTTCCGATTCACGCCGACCCTGTATAAGGTTTCTGAGGAGCAGCTGGTGGGTTTGAACCCCTGACCTTGAGGTCCAGTGCATTATCCTGCAGTGCTACACCAAGACTCCATTAGACATAGGGGTAGAGCTAATGATTAAAAGCAGTAGGACATAGGATTCTGGTATTCAGACAAGAGGGGTTTAAAAGGAATTTAAATCCATGTGACCATATGAGGTCACTAGGGAGGAAATGTAAGGCTCTGGTGTGGAGCTATAGAACAAGCACTGAACTGCTAAGTACAAAGTGAGTGGTTCAAACCCACCAGCTGCTCCTGAGAAACCCTATACAGGGTTGCTATGAGCTGGAACTGACTCGACAGCACTTAACAACAACAACAACAGGGAGAAAATGTAGATCAAGGACTCAACACCAAGTTCTAAGCCTTCAATACGTAAGAGGATTGGAAGAACAGCAAAAGTGACAGGAGAAGGGACCAGTGAAATACAAGGAAAACAATAGAAGGTGGAGTGAAGGGCCAAGTCAAGAAAGTGTTTCAAGACAGAAGTTAGTTATTCAACTGTGTCAAATGCTACTAGAAGGTCAAATGAGAGAAGACTGAGAACTAACTACTGGGTTTGGCAAGATAAAAGTGTTATGACTTAGACAAGAGCTGTTTCAGTGAAATGGCAGGGAAGAATGTCTAGGCACAGTGAGTTAAATAGAGACCAGAACAACAGAATTCTCGATTCTCTTTACTACCAATTTGTGATACTAATTTTTTTTTTAACCAAGATTATGAGACACTTCTATGCTTTCATTTTATAGAAAAACAATACAAAAAAACATTTTTTAAGTACAAAGCATATATTATAAAAACATATTTGAAGAAATTTGAATAACTGAGTTCATTTAACAAAAAAATAAAATGTTACAATGATAGATATTTTATGTTCCAATTTTATTGTAATATTGTTTAAAGGAGAAAATATAATTTATATTTATAATATCAAAATATAGAAAAGGATAACCAACAATATTATTTTATCATTATGAGAATCAATATGAGTATGCATCAGAATCCCCTGGAGGGCTTGTTAAAAAATCAGCTTCTTGGGTCCTACTGCATTGTGTGCTGAGTGAGTCCTAAGACTTCACATGATTCAAATGTAGCCAGTTAAACCACGTTCTCTAAAGTAGGAGACAAAGAGTTTCACTACTTGCCTTCTAAGAAGGAAGAAGTGAGAAGCAGGAAGATCTGTTGAAGGAGACACTAGATTAGATGATTAATTCCGTTCAAGAGTGTCAGAGAGGAGGATAACCTACTAATCAATGAATATTTATTGAGAATCTGGTATGTGCCTGGCATTGTACAAGACAGCAGATACTGGCTCTCATGGGGCTTGTAATCTAATTGGAAAATTAGACAATAAACAAATGACTTAAAAATCCCCCACAGTACACAAGTAAAAACCTTCTTAGTGGACTCCTAAACAGACTGGCTGATAAAGTGTTCTTCTGGCTGCCCAAGGCTCCCCGGAAAAGAACTACTGATGGGTGATTCTCTAGCACCCAGGCATTTCTGCTCCCACCCATCAGTTGAGTTGTCTGCTTTCCCAAATTAGTTAAAACCAATTTTGCTGACTGATTTTTTCATCAGTAAATATTAATAAACAGACAAAATACTAGAGGGGGGCTTTAACAAGTTAATGAAAAAATTCCATTTTTCCATGAACTTTTTGAAGCTCCTTTGTAGGGTTACTGTGATGTTGCTATAAGGCAGGAAAACAAAGTTACATACTTTAAATTGGGGTCTGTCTGCAAAAGCAAAATCCCCAAATGAAAAGAAGTCTGAGTGATGATGGGAAGAACACTGTAGAAAGGGCAGCACTGGAATGACTGTGAGGTCTAAGGAAGCAACCTAACTGAAGTAAAGAATGGCATGGAACGAAGTGGCAGAAGTAGGCATCTTGGGTAGATCCCTGATTTATTCTAAATACAAAGGGATCCCACTAGAAAATGGAAAGGGGATTGATAGTACCAGTTTCCATTGCGTGATTCAGACTCAGGATAACCCACTGTGTATCAAACCAGAATTGTGCACCATTGGATTTTCAATTGCTGATTTTTCAGAAGTACATCACTAGAACTTTCTTTCAAGGCACTTTTGGGTAGACTTGAACCTCCAGCCTTTTGGTTAGAAGCCAAACACATAACTGATTGTTGTTGATGTTGTTAAGCACCATCGAATTGGTTCTGACTCACAGCAACCCTGTATAGGGTTTCCAAGGAGTGGCTGGTGGTTTTGAACCACTGATTTGTGATTAGAAGTTCAGTGCTTATCCTACAGTGCTACACCATACCTCATGTAACTGATTGTTGCTGTTAAGTGCTGTTAATTTGGTCCTGACTCATAGTGACCTTGTATAGGGTTTCTGAGGAGCAGCTGGGGGGTTTGAACTGCTCATCTTGTGGTTCGCTGTCTAGTGCTGATCCCATAGTACTTAATTCAATGATACTAACTTGTGTTTTGTTCTTAGATTTTCCTTTTCAAATTCAGAAAACAAATTGTGAAAACCTAGAAACCATCCATTGAAGCTTAAAATGAGAAGTATACAATCCGTTTTATATCTACCACTGAAATTAAATTGTGGTGATAAAGATGCAGTTGATTGATGGCCTTCACAGAGTTGTGTCTTTGGAATTTCCCTATGAACTGGTTGTAATGTTTCACTGATTCTCCATTAATCAATAAATTAAATACAATTTTTGATGTGTTCATTTTATACTCACAAACAAGTAATTTTAAAGATCTTTTAAAAAAAATTATCCTGCATATATTATCTATTTACCTAATTCATGTGTATTATAAAGCTACTTTTTAATAGTAGAGAAAAATATTATATTCTAATATTCACTTAATTAACATGCAATTTATATCAAGACTAAATTACTGAGTTTGAATTATTTCATTTTTTGTCAGTTTCTGTCAAACATGTAATTATTAAAACATTTACCTTTGGTGCACCATCTTTTTGTATCCCTACATCATTGGTGGCAATCCCCTTTACACTCCCATCTTCATGAAAAAGAACCTAAAAGTGATAAAAATGAATTAGTTATCACTTTAGGATTCACAATGACCTTGAAAAGAAACAGTGAACAGTCTTAGATTTTAAAAAATGAACATGTACTCTAGATTATAGTAAAACAGACATTAAAGTACTTAGACAGTACTTAGAAATATCCTCCCCTCAGAAAATAAGTGAACAGGTAGAAAAGATGAGAAAAATATGTCACAATCTTGATGAGAAAGAAAGGAGGGAGTCTACAAAAGGAGTTAGAGTTACTGGGTGATGCAACAGTTAAAACACTTAGCCAAGAGGTTGGAGATTCGTTCGAGTACTCATCGAGTCATCTCTGCAGAAAGACTTGGCAACCTACCTTGACAACCCTATGGAACACAGTTCTACTCTGACACACATGGGTGGCCATGAGTTGGGATCAACTCAATAGCAACTATTTTACTAGTTGTTGTTAAGTGTCAGCTCATCAGTTCCAACCCATATTGATCCTGTATAGGGTTTCTGAGGAGTGGCTGGTAGATATAAACTGTCAACTTTACAGTTAAACCTGACATTGCTGTCAAGTGCTGAGGTTACTAAAGAAATAAGCAAAATGCTCTCTGTGTGTTCATATATTCAGAGCCTGTGTATAGGATCTGAATTAGGGAGAGAGTTGGTAGAAAGGGAACAACAGCATCAGGAAAGCCTATGTGTCAAATGAATAAGAACTCCCCCCTCCACCCCCCAACAAAAGATAGACAATAAAACAAACAAAGAGAGGATGAAGACAGCCAAATATGTTTAATGTTATTTTGGGAACAAGAAGACAGGGGGAAAAATAGATAAAAGATATAATTCTGAGGATAAGAAATAGCAATGCTTTTTAACCCTAACTCTGGTTAGAAAACGGTCTTTGAAGAGAAAAGTACAAAATGTACAGTGGAATCACTTGAGAGATTACAAGGATTACCAATAGCAGACAGATAAGACATATGTAAAAGGTTTATTTCCTACCTTGAAAACAAATGTGGCTGTGAGCTAGAATTGAAGTCTGGCTCAGAGTGTCAAGAAGGGGCACACAGATCACTAATCTACTGTTGATAATTTTCAAGGACTGAGGAGAAAAGGAGAGATCCAAGAACTATATATGTGTGTGAGTGGGTGAAGAGCATATATTCTACAAATCACCCACAGTGACTTGCCACATCAAGAGCTCAATACAAAGAAATTCAAATTCCAATATTTGTATCTAAAACACCAAATGTATAGTATAAGCTGAGAAAACAGAAATTAGTAGTAGAAAATATAATAAAAGGACTCATGCATTTTATTCAATTTACATATTCTAAGCATGTGGTGTTGTGAATTATTTAATGTCTCCTCTGGACATACTCTTTGTAAACTTTCACCAAATGACTTCTTCTTGATACAGATGGGTAAGAAGGTGGGGAAAGATGCTGATGAGATTACATGATTCATTTGTGAGTGACTGTTAGCAGGGCTAATTGTGTTAACAGGGCTAACTGACCAATTTTGTCATCCATGGTGTTGTTCAGTGCCGTCAAGTTGGTACCTATTCATAGTTAACGCTAAGTACAACAAAATGAAACACTGCCCACTCCTGTGCCAACCTCACAATCCTTGCTACGCTTGAGCCCATTGCTGCTGACACTGTGCCAATCCATCTCATTGGGGTCTTCCTCTTTTTTACTGACCCTCCACTTTAACGAGTATGATGTCCTTCTCCAGAAACTTGTTCCTCCTGATAATATGTCTGAAGTATGAGAGATGAACTCTGGTCATCCTGCCTTCCAAGGAACATTCTTTTGGCAGTCCATGGTACTTTTAATATTATCCTCCCACACTACAACACAGTTGAATCAATTCTTCTATGGTCTTCTTTATTCATTGCCCAACTTTCACATGCATATGAGGCTATTGAAAATACTATGGTTTGAGTCAGTCATGTTAGTCCTCAAACAGTATCTTTACTCTTGAACACTTTTAAAGGTCTTGTATAGCAGATTTGCCTAATGCAATACATCATTTTATTTCTTGACAGCTGCTTTCATGAATACTGATAGTTGATTCAAGCAAAATGAAGTCTTTGACAACTTCAATCTTTTATCCATTTATCTTGATATTATGTATTGGTTCAGTGGTGAGGATATTTGCTTTCTTTACATTGAATCCCAACCCATACCAAAGGTCTTTGATCTTTATCAATAAGTATTTTAAGTCCTCTTCACTTTCAGCAAGCAAGGTTTTATCAACTGCATATCGCAGGTTGTAAATGAGTCTTCCTTTAATCCTGATACCTCGTTCTTCTTTATATAACCCAGCTTCTCAAATTATTTGCTCAGCAGTCATATTGAATATTGGTGACCCAACAGAATGTGGAAATCATTGGACAATCTCTTTGATATCTCAAGCAAAGTTTTGGTAAAGGTAATACAGAAACGGCTACAATCATACATTGACAGAGAACTTCCAGAGGT